CATAACTTTTATAAAAAATTTTATAATTTTAATAGATATCTTTTAAGAATTTATACAAAAATCTTCAATTTATTCACCTCGGAATATGGTTTATCAAGTTGAATTTCAAAGTCTTTTGAAATTTGAGCGAATTGTGCCACTTTACTTTCATTTCCAATTTTCCCCCAATCATAATTTTGAACGGCACATTTTAACCTAAAAATTGCCGGTTCAGACATTTTGATAAAACTTGAATATATCAATTTAAAATTTACAGAACTTACACTTTAGAGATAAAAAACACCACAAAAAAGTTTTTTGAACTTTAAAATGATTTGTACAAATTATGTCTGGTCAGATGTGACCGGCCAATGAAAATTGATACTTTTATCAGTGATTACGTAACATATATATACATATTGATCATTCAAAGCTTTCTTTTTGTACGAGAAAAAAAAAAAATGTCGGAAAATCCTATAGTATTTTTTGATATTTCAATTGGAAATCAACCAGTGGGTAGAATCAAAATAGAATTATTCGCAGACGTTGTACCAAAAACTGCCGAGAATTTTAGGTAACGGAAATTCATACGAAGAGATTTTTGTTTAATAAGTTCAATTAATTAAAATAATTAGTTCAAATTGATTATGTAGACAATTGTGTACGGGAGAATTCAAGTAATTATTTCGCCTTATATGAATGTTATTATTCCTTTTGTATATTTGAATACTTTTTTTTCTGACCAATCTATAGGAAAAATGGAGTACCACAGGGTTATAAAGGGGCGCAATTCCATAGGTAAGGAATTTCTCTTATCAAGAAACATATTCTTATTTATTTTATTTTATTTTATTCTCATTCTTTTTCTTAATAAAGAGTTATAAAGGACTTTATGGTTCAAGGTGGTGATTTTCTAAAGGTAGGTTTTTCCCGAATCATTATATTATTTTATGAATATGTAACTTAATTTCGTAATCTTGTGTAGAATGATGGGACCGGATCATTTAGTATTTACGGAGAGAAATTTTCTGACGAAAATTTTGAATTAAAACATACTGGTCCCGGGTTACTTTCAATGGTAAATCTTATAAAATCTATTTATACTTGATTAAAATATTAAATCGATTAATTTTAATATAATAGGCAAATAGCGGGCCAAATTCAAATGGATGCCAGGTATTTATACCCTTTTAATAAATAAATTTAATATTGGTTTAGATTAATTCATGCTAATTCCTTTTTACTTTGGGATAAAGTTTTTTATTACGTGTGCCAAATGTGATTTCCTTGACGGAAAACATGTTGTTTTTGGAAAGCTTATT